TCAATTCAAGATCATCTACTTTACTGATTAATTTCATAAGAAGATTTTCTTATTCTTCTTGTTTATTGAGGACTGAAATCTTTTTACAACAAATATAAAAACATCATATTTTAATGTCGGGGGATGAAAGACTACTTGAGCAATTGTTGGAAGAAGACAAATTAGAACTTAAATCATCTTCGGATTGACTATGATATGTCCCTTAATTCTAAGACTTGAATTGGCTGCAGTTTCTCTTCTTCAGAGATTTTCAGCTGGCTGATTGTTTTCTTGACTCGACATTTATTTGCATAATGACCAAATTTGCCACACTTGTAGCAATTTCTTTTTGTTCTTGGTTTTTGGAGTGGAATTTTCCTGAGGATTTCCTCTTCCAATTGGTGGACTTGGGTTTGTCGTAAAATTTATTTGTTTCAAAATTCTTGTTTTTGAATTTATTATATTTAGGATGTTTCCTACTAGAATACCTATTTGAGTGTTTGTTTGGATACCTATTGTAGGCTTCTAATTTTTTCTTTTTGTTGGATGGAGTAATAGGAGATAATCTGTATTGTTCACAAAATGTTCCTAATTCATATTTAGCTATTGATTTGTCTATAATCTGTATTGTTCACAAAATGTTCCTAATTCATATTTAGCTATTGATTTGTCTTTATTTACTTGTTTTGAAATTTTCAATCCTTCCTTCTGGATAATATTAATAATTTTTCCATAAGTAAGAGTATGATATGGTATGATACCTTCATCGTTGGCTAAAACATTTCTAATTTTGTGGGCAAAAAGGTTTGGTAATTCATTGATGAATTTTTCTTTCCAAAATGGTTGATTACTATCTTCTCGAAGCATGACTATGGACATGAAAACGTCTTTGTACCACCTGAAATCACTTAAGGTTGGACATCTTAGATTGCTAAGTTGGTCATGAATTCTGGAAGTGACATTACTAGATGTACCTATGAAATGTTATATGATGGTAAAGAGTAAGGTGTTGACTGCATCTGGGACTCCTTGTCCTATATGCTCATCCAAGATGGGCGTTCCATCTTCATCCTTTTTAACTGCGTGTTTTATTTCATTTCGTGATTGTTTAGTGAGATGTTTTTCCCACTAGGAATGAAGCATCCATGTGAATCAAGTGACTAAAAGGTCGACAACTTGGGTTTGACTGAGATTATGATTGGTAATATAACTATTAGCAACCATAGAGATGTGTTGTAATGTGTTTAAAAGTTCTTGTTCTGATAACCCATCTGTATTCCATTCATAGAGTTTATCAGTCGAAACTGAGAATTGATTTTGGATGTTTCGTTCTTCAAACTGAATATCTGGAGGTGTTGGTCTCGGATACCAATTTTTGGTAAGAGTTGTTAGGTTGACTCGTTTATTTGTGATTCTTTTGAGTTCAAGATTTTGAAAAGCTTGTTCTACTTTCCTAATGGAGTTTGTTTCGGTTTTTGTTTTCTGAATCCCATATTGTAGAAATTGTTTCTACATCAGACTCATCTGGATGTTGTAAAACATTGAATGTTTTTTCTTATTTTAATTCTTGTAACATTTGGTTTATTTTTTGATTTGTGGAAATTGTTTTCAAAGCGATTGTGCTAGAAGAAGATTCTAGGAAATTGACTAAGGGTTTTTCCTTATGTGTTGGTTTTGGTTGGGAAAGTTTGTCTATTTTTGGTTGGGAAAGTTTGTCTATTTTTGTTTCGATTTTGTCTAACTATTTTCCTATGGTGTGTAAACTCTGGTTTGTGAAATTCTTCTGTTCAATGACAGGTTTGACTCCTGCATCTTCTTTTGGGAGTTTGAAAGGAGTAGCTGGTATTTGGGTGTTTGTAGTGAAAACTAAGTTTTTATCCTCTTTAACCCAATTTTCTTTGGTGATGACTTCTAATTTGTTTTCAGATTCATAATACTTTTCAACAAAGTCGAAGAAAAATATTTCAAATCTGTGCTTTTCAATGAAATTAGTCCACTTATTGTAAATGTCCAATTTTTGTTCTTTTGAATACTTATTACGGAAAATGTCCCCATGGGGAATGTTTTCTATAGCTTCGATGTTAGCATTGAGTTTCTTTCATCGAATCTTGAATGGTTTATTTAAGACTAGTAATTGATGGTTGACTTGACTTGCTTCAAAGTCTGAAGCTGTTGGAGAAGTTGGTTCTCCTTGATTTTGGGTATTGGGTTGATAAATGGGATGAGTGACTTGAGAGGTTGTTTCTATTGATTTTAGTTTGATATTAATCAAGTCATTGATTAATTCTTGTTGGGGACAGTCGAACTTGTTTCTACTGCCTTTATTTTTTGTTGATTAATGAATTGATTAAATCTTGATCTTGACCTACCATACTGGCAAATGTAGATCCAGAAAAAGAATTCCTACTAGGTGATAGGGATTTGTGCGGCTAGGGAAATTCCTGCAGGTGAGCATTTGATTTTTTGGCTGGTCGGTCAAAGTTCATTTTAACTGTTCCATCAAAATATTGCTCTATGTTGTCTAGGTTGACTAGACTATTTTGAATACTAACTGGTTTGCTTTCGTTAATCAAACACCAATCTGAAGGTAGACTGATATCTGACCACCTAATGGTTCTAGGTATTTTGATGTTAGCATTTTCTTGGTTTGTTTGGATTAAGAGTGCATGGTCTCTAGGACTTTTGACTAAGGCTTGGAAATTCATGTTTGTTCCTGTAACATTGTAATAGACTCTAAAAATTAGAGCTAATGGTTTGACTCCTTCAAGGACTTGGTACCCTGAAACTTTTATGTTTAACGTGAGTGCTTTCAGCATGTGGGGGTCTAAAAGACTTATAGTGAAATCTGGGAAACAATCAAAATGAATTGGTCCATTGTAAATGCTTGATTCGATCATTCCAAAAATACTATCACTGAAGTTAGTGAATCTTGCATCTCGGAGACATAATAAAATAGAGGTATTAAGGTCTCTTCTTGTTAATGGTTTGACTGCTATTTGGACTAAACCTATATGAATGTAATTGTAACCATCTTTTCTGTGAGTTCTAATTTGTTCAGGTGTGAATAATTGACAAGTTTCATGTTATTTGCTAAGAGCATATGCCTTTTCAACTGTTTTGACATGGTGTTCACTTCTAAAAGAGGCTACTGACCATTTCTTTTTATAAATATTTTTACTTGAAACCTTGAGGATATTCCAATCTCCAAAGTTGACACTATCATCTGTTCGAAATTCTAATTTTTGTTCTTCATTTACTACATCTGGAATTCTTCCTAGACTGGATCTAGAGCTAGTGCTAGCCATTGAATTAGATCTAAATAATCTACTCATATTGCTCAAAATACAGGCTTACAAAACAGAAATCCTATTGGCTTACCTTCCTCGAGTACTTGCTAAACTACCTCTCCGCTCATGCGTTCCGCTCATGTCAATCCTATAGACTTATTGTTTGAAACACGCCTTACTGTTTGGGTTAAGAGTTAAACAAGACAACTTAGAAGGTGAACAAACAAGATAAAATGATTTTGATTGCTGAAAGATGAACAAATAAAACGATTAAATAGAAAATAACTCAATTACCGCTCACTTGGATCTGATACCAAATGGGGCGAAACTAATAATAATAATGATGATAAGAACAATTATACCAAGGGCAATGATGATTAGGGCTAAATGAACAGTTGAATGAATTGTTAGTTGAATTATATATAACTTGATGTGGAGGATAACCAGGATTAAAAATGCCACGAAACGAACTGTTAAATATATATAATATATATATATATATATATATATATATTATATATTATATATATATAGGGCTAGGATCGGAGGACAACTACTTTTTGACACACATTTTGTAAAGTCCACTCCATAATTTTTTCAAGAATTCAAACTATCTATATTTCAATTCATCATTCATACATCATCCTTGCCAAAAATTAGACAAATCCAAAGCTAGACATTCATTTGTAGTGAAGAAGATAAACAGAAACACTAAAATTACTATAAATAGTCATATGATTTTGAATTTTGATGATATTTGGTACACTTGATATTTGAGAAAAGACTTAAAAGATAGATGGTTGAATTGTTTAAATACATTACAAGATGGCCTATCAAAATGTATGTTAAAATGTGTGTAACTCATACATAGATGTGTATGTTTGACAAATAGTGTCAGGCAGAAATTGCGCGTCACATTTTGTGCTTAAAAACTTCACTGTTACTATTAATAGATTTTGGATTGGATTCTTAAATTCTGTTAGCTCTTACTAAATACACAAGAAGAGTATAAATAATTGTAATGATCTTTATCTAGAGATCCAAGACCACATTTACGGGACTCATCTATGTACTAGGTGATTTTTTTTTTTTTTTTTTTTTGTCAAAGGTAGTAGGTGATGTGTTTACTTTTTACTAACCTGTCATAATAGTTAATGTAGCATGTTGCATAAACTGGCTTGTTAAATGTAGCCCCTCTAATGTTGCCGACGCTAAGTAAGAAAGAATCTTGTTTACTGGTTAATTTACGGTAATGGCTCTTGTTTTTGCCAAGTTGTTGCATGCTTATAGAGACTACATGACTGCACTTAATTAATATCCAACATGCTAATATCCTTACAAGACTTGTTACCTACATGGACACTTTCAGATTCTGATGCTCAAGTTGGCATTTAAACATACAAGCCAGGTAATGAAGAAGTATGGTCTTGTAAGTTTGGACAGTCTTTGTGGACAAGTCAAATGCAATGGTGCAGTCTATTGTGCTGCTTAGACAATTTAGCTTTACTGCTCAGCGTCAACACCGCGCTGCTCAACTCATACTTGAAGTGTTTAAAACTATATTCACCTTACATTATTAGAATTTTTTGAATGGAATGATTTGTAAGCATATGTTTCTATATATATTCAACCATATAAAAGAAAAAAGAAAGTAGAGCGTCAACAAATCCAAGGAGTACACTGAGAAACAAGAATAAACAAATAACAGTAATAATCTTCATCTCGAAAGTCTTATCATTTGCATTGCAAAGTTTTGAGCGTCTTGGATGACAGATCAAATGCAATGGTGCAGTTCATGGTGGAAGACTTCTTCTTCTTCATTATCAGCATCAGTTCAACCTTTCCAGTCACCTTAGCCGCACTGTTGAGAGTCAACACCCCGCTGCTCAATTCACCGCCAAGATTGGAACCGTTTAATGCACTCGAACTCAAGCTCACCTCGACGTTCATTTTTTTGGTGGAAAGCATGCCAGCCTTGCTCTTTGGAATAACTACTTGCCCAACAGCCGCGCCTTGGTACATAAACGTGACAGTGCTAGCATCAAATTTGTAAGGACCCCAGTTTGGGTTTTTTACCTTGATTTGGGTTGTGAATTTTGTGTCGAATGAAGGTGTTGCCACGACGGAGTTGAGTTCTTGGACGTTGATGTTGCCTAGCCTGACCTTCGGGGTCTTAACTTTCATGACTGTGAGGCTAATCACAGTTATGACAATGATCTGAAACACAACGAAGATAGCAACATAAATGGCCAATTTGATTCTCTTCTTGCGTTTCAGTTCATCGGCGGATAGGAATGACTCTGCATCACTTCTTTGGTAACCATGGTTTTCTGGGGCTGAAGGATAAGCCTGTTGTGTCTTCTCAGCCATGTCTCTTATTTCTTTTCTGATAGAGAAGTGATTCGAAATTGATTTGCTTTTGTACTGAAGGTTGAAACTTTCAAGTGGAGGGAGTTTTGTGGAAATGATGGAAGAGGTGTGTTGTTATATATACTGTTTGGAGTTTGGCCACTTCCAATGCGTTATTTAGTGGTATGAACTTCCTGGAAAAGAGGATCTCAAGGAAAGTATTTTATTGCAGACGGCAAACGCGTCCAAAACCGTGGTGGAAATTATTGACTTCTAGAAGATCGATGACATTGGTAAAGTGAAGGACTTTTTTTATTTTTTCTTTGACCCGTCAGGAGATGAGATATTAAATCTCCTTATGACAAGTGAGAACGTGATGAAGGATCTATTACAGTACACTTTACTCATCACCTAACACTTTGGCAAACTATTCTGAACTTGATTTATTCTTTCAAGTCCCGTAAAATAGGCAATTTCATGATTTCTTTAGGGTAATGATTTTAACACTCTCAATTTTCTCTCTGCTTTATGTTTATTTACTGATTCTTCTTTAATTGATACGATACTAATCCTAATCATATATAAGAAAAAAGGGCGAAAGAAGTGCACATGATAGTGAAAATCATTTATCTTCTTCTATTGCTATAAAGTGGATTGGATGTTCTATTTATGGCTAACTAAATTTTATAAAGTTTGAAGTTTTCAAAATGGACCATGAGATTTCAATTCTCTCGTCACATTGCGGTATGAGGTTTTTAAAATTGTAGCAATTTAAACATTGAAAAATGCTAGAGAGATCTTAGTTTTAGACAATATTTTGTAGGTCACATGATATGGTGGTTGATGGTTGGATTCTTTTATTGATGATTTAAAGAAGAAACCCAACCATCAATCATCACATCATATGGTCTACATAGAGTAATGCTAGGAAGACCACATTTTAAAACCAAATAATGTGTCACCACGAGAAAATAAGCACATTAATCAAAGCTTGAGTAATAATCCAATCATCAACAACCACATAATTTGGTTTCCAAAATTTTGTTTAAAAATTTGGTCTCTTTAGCCTTATCTAGTCTACAAAATATGGTCCAAATAGATAGTATCTCTAACATCATTCTTGCAAATTTTGTCTCTTTGAATGTCTAATACTCTATTAATTAATGAGTTTTTGTCAGTTTGGTACAAATGAGGTTTACATGTTAGCCCATACATAAAAGTCTCAAGATTACCACTTTAACAATTTAATGATTATCATACAATCAATGAAACTGTAAGTATAAATTAATACGATTTTAATATCTTAGGATGCAATATGAAAAAACTAAAACGTTGCGACCTATTTTAAAAATCGCCCCAAACCTAAAAGGTTTATATTGTAGTTAACCTTTCTAATTATATAATTACAAATTGAAAGAAACAGAGGCCTCAAACCAATCATGCAAATCCAAGGGATTAAGGGCTAGTTTGGTATTGCTATGCTTTGAAAAAAAATTGTCGTGAGAATAAGCGGCTGTGCTGTGAGAATAAACGGCTGTGAAATAAATCAGCAGAGTGTTTGGTAAACTTTTTTGTAAAAGTGCTTTTGGAAAAAAAAAAAAAAAGCAGTCTGATAGTGGGTCTTTTCATTAAAGGAGCACTGTAGCTCCGTGTGCTTTGAAAAAAAGACAGTTTTCCAAAGCTACAAATAGCAGCTTCAACTTTTTCCTTTGATTTCAGCTTATTCTCAAAGTAGCTTCCAAAATAAGCCTTTTTTTTTTCAGTTTACCAAACACCTAAAACCCTCACAGCTTTTTTTCATGGGTGTTTTTTTTTAAGCACCTCACTCCCAAACCACCCCTAAGAACTTAATTTCAAGCTATTTTGTACGAACCTCTTCAAATCTCACATATGGAGCTCACCAACTGAGTAATTCAGACTGTTCGAGAGAGACATGTAGATATTTGGGCAGGGAAGAGAGAGATTGTGTGTGAGGTGGGGTCCATAGATGAGCTAATGATGATCGTATGATTTAAACTAAACGATCTGAATTAAATAATGGATCATTTTGGTTTCGGTCCCTAATCAACCTAATTGTTGGACTAAAACCTTGTTTGTTTAAATATTTTGATCGAGGTCTTACATTATTTAAGAGATTTAACTCATGCATTTATACATATAACGTCCCACAAATTATGAAATTTAAACAAATTCAAATAATATTTTTAAAATATAATAAATACTTGAAAATAAATATTAGAGTAACACTGTTCTTCACAACTTATAGCAAGAAAATAATGTACCCAACCCACATAATATTAACATATTTAAAAAAGAATAACTAATGATATATTTTAAAACATAAAATAAATACATATAATTAGCATGGGTACATTTAGCAAAATTAAAAATGGGTACAAATAAATTTAAAAATATGGGTACAAATACAAATAAAACTTTAAAATATATGGGCACAAAAAGAAATTAATATATGGGTACAAATTAAAACTGAAAAGAAAATAGGTACAAACTAAAAATTAAATATATGATAAAAATTTAGCATGGCTAAATATAATATACCAAATGTAACATTTGTAACACTAAATGAATATATTTAAAAATAAAAAATATTTATTACTGAAATAATTAATGTCCTTTATTAATATCTAAGGACCTTGATAAAAAATTGAATAGGAATAAGGTTTTAATCAATGGATTAGTAAAAAGAGAGATGAGAACCTAATTTCTCCTTAAACAATTAACTTTGTAGAATAGATTAAAAAATTATATTGCAAAAAGTCAATAACAAATTGTAATGTCCCTAATCACACATCTCTTATTAACTTTATAGTGACCATGGAATAAAATTAAAAAAAAGGCTACAATAAACGCCGCCTCAGAAGGAAAGAAACGACCATTTAAAAAGGAGAGGCAAAAAAAAAAAAAAAAAAAAAAAAAAAACAAGCTAATGAAACTGAGCAAGAACAAAGATAAAATCAAGCTCATCATTTACAAGCCAAATCATAAACAAGCTGGTTCGGTAAATTGACAATCATTGTGCAGTTCATCTGTGCTGTTTTGCGCTTCTTCATCAATTTCATCAATGTTACCTTACCTCTAACCCTAGCAAGAGTGCTTAATGTCACATTCCCTGAGCTCACCTCAGTCCCAAGCTTAGCACCGTCCGATATGCCATCAGAGCTCACTTCAATCGTCACGTTCATTCTCCTCGTCTTCCTAGCCTTGGCTCTTGCTTTGATTAGATCACCTTGCCCCACTATGACGCCCCCAAATGTGACATTAGCTTTTGTCGGATCAAATTTGAACTGCCCGAAATTCTTGTTCCTCACAGAAACTTCAGCAATCAAAGTCATGTTGAAGAATGGTGAATTGCTACCTGAAGAACTATAGTCTAGGCTTTGGACCGTCACCGATCTCAGCCTCACATTCGGAGTTTTAATTTTCATCACCGTTGCTCCGAATATGGCCAGGACTATGATTTGGAACAACAAAGATAGCGATGTAGGCAAAACACTTCCTGTTCTGCTGAATTTTCTTGAACCTTTCAGACTCCAACATGGCTGCAGGTTTGTTTTTTGAGTACCAAAATTTGATGTGTCTAGGTAAGTGGGGTTCTCTGCAATATTTTGTTTGGTGATATTTGGGGTTGGTTGCTACCAATATATACACAATTAGATGACGACCCAAGAAGCATGTAATTTTTGAATATTTAATGGGAAGAATGAAGGAAAATATGTGACGTACTACTTTTCTAGTAAGTGAACGTGTTGAAAAATACATGATAATTCTTGTGAATAGAGGGGCTAGGACGATGCCGCTCTAGTATTAAAAAATAATAATAAAGGGAAAATAATTTAGAGAATTATTATTCCCACTCTAAAAATTTAATTGTACACTAATTTATAAAAAAAAAAATTTAATAAAGAAAACTTGATGTACATAATTAAAATTTTAAAGTGTTAATGGAAAGTTCTTAAATGTGAAAATAACTAATTAAAAAGTAAACCAAATTGAATAGAAGATACAAACAAAACCTAATACCCAACAAAAAAATGTTGATAATTACTAATTAGCCTTGGCTTGAATAACAAGGCGTACCCAAAAATTTGAGGTGATCTGTGACGATTCTGTTTGAACGGTGACTCGTGCATCTGATCCGACCCAAGAAAAAGTGCTATTTGTTGGGCTTGACTTTCCAATTAATGCACGTATTGTGTGTTTGTTTAGTATTTTTAACTCTATTATTTTACTTCTCGTTTTAATTTTTTAATATTTAGTTGTAGTTTGATTTCTTTGTTAGAGGTGTCATTAAGAAGAGCACATAAATATTAAAAAAAATTAAAGAGACGAGTGGGAGGAAAAGTAATTTTAAAGGACTAACTATATATTTTTTACACTTTCAAGGCTTTAAATAATTTTCAAAATGGGTTATGAGGTTTTAATTTCTCATATTGCACCTTAATGTTTTGTAATTGTATCGATTTACATTTTTTTTTTCCTATTTGAACGTCTAATTCTCCATTAATTTAATGAGTTTTTAGTCTATTTGGTGCAAATGTGGCTTACATGTCAACCCAATTACAAGTTCCACACCCACCATGTCATCAATTTAATAAAGATTCATATAATTCATTAAACAAAAGGCAGAAATTGATATAGTTTTAAAACCTCAATGTGTAATGTGAAAAAGTTAGAACCTAATTACCCAATTTGAAAATCACCCTAGACCTAAAGGGTGTAAAATGTTGTTACCCTAACCTTAAAAGTGTTTTCTGCAAGCTTCTTCTGTTTGGGCCGTGAAGATGAGCAATGAACAAAGCGTATTACTACTAAGTAAGGTTTATTTGACTCTTTTGACTATGACTATGTTTGGCAAGAAAAGTTAAATTTAACTCTTTTGATTATGTTTGGCAAGAAAAGTTAAATTTTATTTTAGAACATAGAATGCCTTTTTGAATAAAAACACGCTACAAGCTTCTTCAAGAAGCAAGAACCACTTTAAGTTTAACAAAAATTGCCTTTAAGGAAAGTACTTCTAACAAAAATACTTATGAGCAAAAGTGTTTTCCGCAAAAGTAGGCTCAAATGTCCCTTAATTTGTTAGGACGTAATTATACATCAATTTAATTGCCTTGTAGACCTTGCATAAACTTGTATATATAAAGCAAGAAGTGGTCAAAAAAACGTTCATTGCACCTAAACAGATCAAATAAATTAAGGGAAACTAATTAATTAAAATGACTTCAAAACTTTGATTCTTAACCAAAAACACTTTAATAAGTTTATTTAATGGTTAGGAAAAAACAATCTCTTTTTTTTTTTTTTTCAATCTTAGATTCTTCAGAGTGAGTGATAGCTGAAACTACTGTAGCGTCTCACATATATCGCCCGACACAACTAAGCCACCAAATCCAACCAGCACAAGATCGTCAAAACCCTAGAAGGAAGCTAGTGTACTAGACCACTAAGAGCTCTTCCAGTGTAGGAAGGCCTCCCTGGGCAATAGGCAACTCAATCCCTTTAAACAAACAATAACGGCCTACAATGAACAATAACTGCTCGCGTTGGGTCCAATTGCTAAGTGGGCTGGAGTGTTTTGGGGAGAAGTAAGAGTGGATTAGGTTTCCTATCTCTAAGGCTATTAGTAACGGTGGAGTTGCTCTAAGAAGAGGGTAAGTGGGCCCAAGTGCCCTGTTACTGGAAATAGAATTCAAGGGATCCCTCACTAGAGGCCTACGAGTATAAGAGGTCCAGATTATCTAGGAATCGAAGGACTGTTAACCGTGCTTAAGGAGGTGTGTTGTCTGGAAGTGCCATCAAGGAAATGATCATTAGGGCCTTTCTGGTGGAGGAACAAAAGATTGTGAAAAAGGCGTTGAAGATTCAGAAGGCAAAGGAAAAGCAAGCTACAAAGACCGAGTAGAACTCTACTGAGTTTTAAGTGGTTTTGCATACTAGGCTAATTTTGGCTTATGGTGAGCTAGGCAAAGTAATTCAAGGTGTTCCATTTTGTACTTTTACATTTTATTGTGGCTTGTTTAAGTTATGGCCTACCATGGAATTTCTTGTTTTGTATTTCAGTGGTAACATGTACGTTTTCAAATTAATCGTATAATGTCAGATTACTGGCTTTATTTGTGAAAATAAATAAAAAAATAAAAAATAAAAAATCTTAGATTCATTATAAGTTTCTCACACGGTAATGAAATAATGGAAGGTTAGAAGCTACGAGTTTATTTGACATCCTTCTTTCTTGTAATACAAGACCCACACATTGAGACTCAGTGTTCAGGGAGATCGAGCTTGCCAAAGGTCATATTTTTTCGGTGATTTTTGCCAATTTTTTACCAAACCTGACAGAATTAGTTCTCGACCCAAGAAAGAAGTTTAATCCTCTCCTCATTTGTTTCTTTTCCATGTTAGTGCTTCCTCATAATTGATACTTTGGTGGCTTCCGCAAATTTGATTTGGGCCATTTGTTGATCAGCCATGCTAAGGAAACAAAAATGTTAATATTAAAGAAATAGAAAGCAGAGTTATGAAAGAGATAGTACCTGAGAACATAGAGAGAGAAGTAAGAGGGTAAAAGAGATTTCTGTACTGTTTACTTAATATTGAAGTAATTACAAGAGTATGTATTTATAGTGAACTAGCCACTTTAACAGACTTCCTAACAAACTAACTAATCTAACAAACCACCTAATCTAATTACAAATGGCAAGATCTCATTCATACAACATTATATTCTAACATCCCCTCTCAAACTCAAGATTGGGGCACCCGATCATGAGGTTGAAGCAGTATCATCATAAATGTAGTATTCATCAGATTGTCAAAGAACATTAGTGCAGTATTCCTTGCAATTGAAGAGTGAGGTTGCTGGTGCCACCACCCTTATCACAATGCCCATATAGTAGCCTAACTGAATATCAAATATACCTCCACCAAAGCAAAACATATCCTCTGAACTCATGTGCAGCAGTTTGAATATATTTCTCTTATATGGTCAAAACAACAAGTTGAACCAAAAATTCTAGAAGTAATATTGTATTGTACTTTTGCTGTGACATGTCTGCAAGAACCTATGCAAACTAATGTACCATATGGAGCCTAATTAAAGGATGCAATATAGATGGTCCTTGCACTTCTAGTAACTGAGTTGAATGACAAGATGTTGGTAATTTAGCTGATCCGCTACTTTATGAAGTTTCCACACCAACTAAACTAGTTGCCTGCTCCTCAGTTTTCATATTAAGTGGCAGGGAAGATTCAAGGGAATGAGAGAAAGAATTGACCATAACAAAGTCCTGCTCGATGGAATCCATCGAATCAGAAACTCGAAGCTTATCATGCAAGTTGTATCTCGAGTAATGGATCAGTTGATAGCTTGAGCAGGACAATGGGCAACAAGATGACACTTTTGTAAAGAAATTTGACTTGTAGTAATTTTAGGTGGTAGAGAATTAGGATATGGAGATGGAGGGGAGACAAGAATTCCAAGTGAAAATTGAGGAAAAGACTTGTAAGTTGCACCATTATTGTAATGGAACCTCCCTTTACCACGATTCTTGAATCAAAATTTCTATACACCATTATAACTATCAGCATTATTACCTAAGCTTGATTGGCATGAACTAAAATTGTATTGAGCATCATAACCACCATTAAAACCAGCATGAAACTGAGAGCACGAACTAAAATTGTGTTGAGAATGAATCTTACATTGATAAGAGGAGTGACCTTGTATGGGCTTATGAGAGGTTGTGCTACTCTCCATAAAACCAACTACTCCCCATAAAACCAATTGGCAATATGGAGAGTAGCCCAACCTCACGTAATCTCATGCAAGGTCCCTCATCTCATCAATAAGGGATTCATTCTCAATACGACCTCTCACATATGACGAATTTTCAAGCTTAACACGTGGACAACACAACGAGGTGACATGAAGTGCGTGTGACTGTTTGGCTTCACACATGAGACAAACTGACTATGATACCATGTTAATATTAAAGAAATAAAAAACAGAGTTATGAGACAGAGAGAGAGAGAGAGTAGTAGAGAACAAAGAGAGAAGTAAGAAGGTAAAAGGGATTTTTGTATTGTTGACTTAATATTGAAGTAATTACAAGAGTATGTAATAGACTTCCTAACAAACTAACTAATCTAACAAACCACCTAACCTAATTACAAATGGCAACATCTCATCCATACAACATTATATTCTTAAAAAAAAAACAACACAAAGATGATTACTGCCACTTCATTTTTTTTTTTATGATTATTCTCTTAATTTTTTATATGTATATTAGTTTGGAAAAGCTCGTTTCATTAAACCTTTGTATCATTTTCATTAAGTAAAGTTATTCTAATGCTTTTGGTTAAGAAAAATTTTGAAGAAGTCATTTTCATTAAATTTTTGTATCTTTTTTATTAAATAAAGTTATGAGGATGTTTTTGGTTAAAAAAAGTTTAGAGAAGCCCTTTTCATTAAGACTCCCAATATGTTAATGCGGGTGTTTGGTCTGGGTTTTCTACTAAAAATAGGGGCATTTTGATCTAGATGCTTGGTTTTGAATTTCTTAGACCAAACATCTAAGGCTTTTAGAAATTTGATCAAACTACTTTTCTACAATTTTAATTAATTT